AAGCTTCAAAAGACCAGATAGCAGGAATAAGTGTTTGTAGAAAACTGTCTGGTGCATATGGAGAGGAAAGGGTGTGTCTTCTACAGGTGGTAAATAAAGAGAGAACATATACGTTTTTTTTATTCTGTGCTTGAACCTGTTATTGTTACTGTTTAACCCTAAGTAAAGGAACACTTCACAGTTTGGTGTGAATTGATGCTCTGATTTTACGTTATCACAGAGCAAATAGTGCCAAATGGTGCTGAATGCAAAATGGTCAATTGCCTTTTGACCAACATAGTAGGGCTGTGCGATATGGGCAAAAGAAACCTATCACGATCTTCTTAAACAATATTGCATTTTCGATTTTAATCATAATTTTGCCACAGACAGACTGAATCTGTGTTTACATTATGAATCTGATACATATTTGAAAAGAAAAACAGTTAGATCTTTATCAAAGACCTGCAACATGGCTCCAAAACAAACTAAATAGAACTAAAAATAATCTAACGTTAGTAAAACTGTAAAAAATTGTCTCTAGAACAGACCTATTACAAAACAAATGTGTGTGTGACTGTGTGTGTGCGGGCCGTCAAACTCAAGTAGGGATGCACCGATACCATTTTTTTGGATCCGATCCTGATACCAAAATTCTGAGTATCGATCGATACAAATTCTTTCCCGATACTTTTACAGTTTCTATAGTTCTGGTGCTCAAATAATATATCTTCTTTAGTAAAAATAACAGACCCATGGCCTACATTATATGACACACGACACAATCTAACTAAAACATGATGCCTGCTATAAACTATAGGCTACATTATTTGAGCATTCATTATGACATTGATCTGATCTGTTGTGGTCCAGCTTATGTTTTCTTTTTTTAATATTCGGATTTTTCTTTAAAATCTGTACTAGACAATCACCATTGACCCTAATCGTTGGTAAAATAACCAGCATTTTAGCAAAGCCTGATATTTTCCAGCAGGTTTGAAGCAGAGTAAACTGTCTGAGGCCTGGTTTACTTAATACACTTTCCCTCACCTAAACTCGCCGCTAGTGAGATGGAGAAACAGGTAACCCACTCTACTCCAGTGCTGTGAATGCGATCTGCTGGATGATCACACAGTGCAACATGATGTAGGAACAGCAATAAACTCCATTTTACGGATCAAAATGAACCTATTTAATGCAGAACTAAATGCATTTCTCCACTGATGATTAAAATTACCAGGAACAAATAGTCTTGGAGAGTTTTTCGTGTTGTCATGAGCACGACATGTAGTTTGAAGTGTGAATGAATGAAGAATGATTGACAGGCGCAGCGGAGGGAAGCTCTGAACTGAACATGGATTACAGCGCTTGAATATCCATCTGTACTTCACATTAAAGATAAAGTAGGCCTGCATGACAACTTTCCAGTGCCTTATAATAGGCTTCCTTCATGGCTTTTGTTGGCTTATAAATGACACAAAATATAGCACACGCGCAAGATCGGATTTGGATTGGTACTAGCAGGCCGATACCAGATCCAGCAAAAATATGCGGTATTGAACCGATATCCGATCCAAGTATCGGGATCGGTGCATCCCTAAACTCAAGTAAGGCTCTAATATTTTGCTTGACCAAATCTCAGAAGTAGCTGCGTGTGTGTTCACAGATTTGTTTTGTCATGCATAGAGCTCTTTGTGGCGCTGCCGTAAAATAGGACATTCACATATTGCGTCTTATGCGCACACAAGTCTATAATTTCCAGCAGAGGTGCATGAATTGCATGCACAAATTGGGATTGGCATGCACGTATTTCACATGCACCCAGCTGAAAACATCTCTTTTTAGACAAACTTTAAATGTAACTTTTCAGAATACCACACCACGAGTCATGTAGCAAGAACTGACCCATCAGCTTCATACTTTGTATGGAATATACACATTTCGGTTACCTCAGACAAACACAAGACACCCGGCACACCAGTGCTTTTTAATTCTCTATACATAAAACTTGTATCGGAACTGCAGCAATGTTTTGATAGGTTGTCTTCCCTTGGGAAAACGGTTTATGATCACCAAACACCGACAAAGGAGCGACCACAAAGCACATAAAAAATGCTGAAGTAAGCGACACGCTCACACTTTCCACACGCTTTTAGACTCAATATATGACTGACTTACAAATAACCTGGTTCTGCCATACATCAGCCTTCCTGTATCTAAAGTAACTTAATCCCATACCACAGATGTTGAATTTTTTGGCATCAAGTCCTCCTGAGCTGAACTCATCATCCCTGTATACGCAGGCTATTCAGTCTCCTGTTCTCTCGCTCCGTCTAGGTGTGTCGTGTTATGATTGGTTCAAATACCCTGCTGTGGGAAAATCGTGCATGTGCAAATTTTGATTTTGATTAGTATTTTGAAAAATCGCACAGCCCTACAATATAGTAATTTTAAATTTTTGGTTCAATATCAGAAACCTAAACTATCATGGTAAAATATTACAATTCTTAAAAGCAGGACATTTTTGTCAGTGTCTTTGCCGACCTGTGACTTTTATGTGAACATTCTCTGTTCTCAGACACTAACCATAACAAACATTCAGCACACATTCCTTTCCCAAACATTTTTTTTCAGCGCCTACACTGTTGTTTAAAATTGATTTCAAACACTGTATAGACAGCAAGTTTAGTAATGTCAATTTAGAATTTCTGCTGATGAAATGTTGTTTTAATTTTGAGCCATGTTTTTTTCATATACATTGTGAAATTAGTTTGAGAGAAATGTATTTCTTAAATGAAAACAATGCAAAAAATGTTAGTTGGTAAAAGAAGTTAAGAGTAAAAAAAGAGATCATTTCATTCAGGATAAATTTCACCGTATGTTTGACAAATATAATGAGGAAGGATGATGCAGACTCTAGAACCTTTTTGTAAACATTTTATGTGCTATTCATTCAGTCAATGACACTGACACTAATAATAATAATAATAAGCAAATAAATACATTAAGGTCCTAGGGTTGTGCTGATCGACGATAGTATTGTGTATCGACGATTGGCAAAGATATAGCCAAGAGCTGAAACCTATGACTATTTTACAGGCTATGTTTAGCTTGTTTCGCAATTAATATAGACCTTTTACACATTTTAAGTGCAAGCCATTAAGTCGTTGATAATTGGAGACTCCTTTATAACAGCACTCCCGCAAGATTCTCTCTTGCTTTTATATTCGTTATTAATAGCCTATTTAAGTTTTAAGGGGGGCCATAGACTATATTTTCAGTGCATGCATTGACTGCTCCTTCAAATACATGGAATATACATACTTGTCTTATTTGTGTTTGATTCGATAGAATGATAAACACGGACATGCAAATTTTTCTGAAAATAACCTATTTATTTAGTTTAAAAATATGTTAGGCCTATATTTATTTATGAAGGCTATTAAAATATATTTTATTTATTTAAACTAGCCTATATTCAATTAAATTACAATCTGTAATTTACCATTTGTTTTGGCATTAAAGAATTATTAAACAGATTATTAATAACTTATTAAAGAACATTTTACTAAGCTCAGTGAAAAGTTTTAGGTCAAATAGGCTATTTAATAATAGAGCAACTACTAACTCGCCGCAGCCATGTCTAAAATGAAACTTATCAGAAAACAATAAACACACAGCCTATGCCAAGTGCAATAATTGTGTTAGATCTTAGCAAATACAAATGTGACACTGTTGATGATTCCTTTTGTGATGATTAGACCTGAAGCTGCGCCGCACTCAATTGAACAAAAACATGGAAAACTTTACTGCATAGTCATGTGCGGGCAGTCCTTCATCTGCCTCCCGTCTGAAAGAATAGAGCATCCTTGTTTCTTCTGTGCATAGATAAATATAATTTCATTTGCTTTCATCCATGTATATTATATCCATTTTGCAGCAGTCCTGCGGGCTGAGGATAACGGCATGAATCCAAAGTCACCATCAAATCCTGTCCTGCGCTGCACTGTTCCATCGAGTCTTGTTTGTAATCATTTCAGTGTCAGCGCCCATTTAGCTGTAAGAGTGTGGTGATTTGCATTGGTTTGAAATATTATCCAAGATCAAACGTCATGCAAATGCAGTAGGTTATTAAATAAGTAAAGAAATCAGCCGAAAGGTTATTAAATATCTTTAGATATGGGTAAATATAATAATCAAATATTATATATACACTGTTATTGTATAATGATGGTTTGTCCTGTAGACTATCAAAAAAAATAGCTTAAAGGGGCAATTTTGACTTTAAAATGATTTAAAATGATAAAAAAAATTAAAAACTGGTTTTATGTTAGCTGAAATAAAACAAATAAGACTTTCTCCAGAAGAAAAAATATTTTCAGACATACTGTAAAAAATTTTCTTGCTATTTTAAACGTCATTTGGGAAATATTTAAAGAACTAAAAATTCAAAGGGGGGCTAATAATTCTGAATTTAACTTTATATGGCTGTCAACATCCCAATGTGTGTTGGCGTTTCGTGACTCTTTAAGGTTAGGTCAAACATAAGGTTAGGAATACACAGGATTAATTGTTAACCCCAATTAGCGTGAAGTGTAACAAAGAAACATTATGAGTTTGGATTGAACCATGTTTCACTGTTTTAAATGTGAAAAACTTGCATCTTGTATTTTCTTAATTGGTCCTGTGTTTTATTTGGTGCAGTCGGGTGCAGCTCACAGTTCGGGGAATGGAACCACGTCTACTTCATCCACAACCCGTCCAAATGAAGAATCTGCAGCTGGTGTTGTAGTCAAAACTGAACCCGTTGAAGAGCCTACAAGTGCTGATACCACATCAAGTACCAGTGGGACAAATAGCAGCACATCTAGCCCTGCTCCTGCTCCAACTTCTGCTCCTACTCTTCTTCCTCCTTCTCTTCCTCCTCCTTCACTTCCTCCTCCTTCACTTCCTCCTGCTCCTGCACTTGTACCTACACCTCCTGCAAAGGATAGCAAGAGCAGTTCTTCAGCACTTCACTGGCTGGCAGATCTGGCCACACAAAAGGAGCCCAAAGGTGAGACTCGAATATAGAGCACTTTACAGTGAGTGGATGGAAAGTGATTTGCTTTGCATTTGTGTGTGTGTGTGTGCGCACTCGGAGGAGATGTGTGTCTGTGGTCTTTTACTGACTCGATGAATGCAGAAAAGTGTCAAACAGCTGAGTGTGTATGGCTTATCTTGTCGCAAAATGCAGATAAAAGTCCTACAAAACAGTAATAGTTTGATTACATCATTTTCATGTCTGTACTGCACTTTAATAATGCGACTGAAATAGAAATACTCCATATGTCTTAATTTGATTAGTGTTTATGACGATTATGGCTTTAAGCATATATAAAGTGCTATTCCATCCTATGTTGGTTAATGGTTAATGCGTGTGGCTGCAGTTGTAGTAGTTTCTGCTTTTGAAAGCTACAACTCCGGTGAAGAAATAATTGGTTACATAACAGTGACCTGCTCTAAATGCGTGAACCACAACTTCGAGGCCAGCCTATCGGGAGTTAGTGCAAAGCACTTGATGTGCAGTTCTAATGCAATCCTGCTTTCAATCTTCAGTGCTAAATTCACCCTCATGCTCCATTAAAAGATCACAACTCACGATACAAATTTTTACACAGACACACACACAGACACACACACATATATATATATATATATATATATATATATATATATATATATATATATATATATATATATATATATATATATATATATATATATATATATATAATTTTTTTTTTTTTTTTTTCACAAATATTTACAATATGTACATTTGAGCAAAATATTGTTATTTTTATTACAAACTATAAGACACACAACTGTATTTGTTTTGAACCTAATATACAAGAAATGCTATTACAGTGGTCCCTCTGTAATTGCGGGAGTTCCGTTCTAGAAATAACCCGAAATAGGTGAAATCGGTAAAGTAGTCAGATTTATTTTTTACAATTATTATTGATGTTTTAAGGCTGTAAAACCCCTCACTACACTTTTCTCAAACAGAATTTAACATTTTCACACTTTTCTCTCATTTAGACACTCTCAAAGTTCATACCTTCGTAGAAAAATAGGTCCAGTATTATAAAATGAAACCTAAGTTCAAAACCATTTGATCCTCATTTATTTATTTCATGATGGTGCCCTACTGTCACATTACATCTACCTTCCTTTAGCATGTCCAGATGTTCAACAATTTGTGCGATAGTTAGCATCTTCCTTTGTCTTTTGTGTGCTACCACAGGTGGCTCTGATGGTGCATAACATTTTGTAGACATTGTAGGAAAAAAACATACAGAACAGAACTTCAGAGTCCCACTGCTGGCGATCAAAGATTTATGTACATTTGGCAAGCTGAACACATTCTGTACTGTACTGATTGGTTGACAGTGGTCTACAGCCAGTCAGGACGCAGAACACAATGCGCTAATCTGGACGCAAAACACAATGTGCTATAAAAAAACCTCGTCAAATTGCACACAAAACAATCAGCGAAACTGTGTGACGCAAAAAAATTAACTGTGTTATAGAGAGGGATCACTACAAGAATCTTTTACAAAAAATAAACTAAAATATATATATATATACAATGTATGCACAAAAACAGATAAAATGGCGTTTAAATTAAATCCGTTTAAGCAACAAATTTTACATTTAAAAATTTAATTATTGTAAAAGAAATGCTTAAAGTATATTGAACACAAAGTAAAAGGCTATTCAAAGACTTCAAGTCAAATGCAAAGAAAAAACAATTTACATGCAAAAATTTACTATATGTTATTCTTTTAGTTCAATTAACTGTCATGCAAAAAGCTTTTGTATTCATTATTTGACAGACAGACAGACAGACAGACAGACAGACAGACAGACAGACAGATAGATAGATAGATAGATAGATAGATAGATAGATAGATAGATAGATAGATAGATAGATAGATAGATAGATAGATAGATAGATAGATAGATAGATAGATAGATAGATAGATAGATAGATAGATAGATAGATAGATAGATGCAAAAAGTAGTGGACTAGTTACATTATAAAATTAAGGAATTTCTCTGTGCTCAGGCTTTCCCTCTCGATTTGTCATTTTTCAGAGTCTCTGCGCTCCATGATGGGTCGTGACTCTCGTTCTCCATTTGGCCTGGACTCGTTCAGCACACTTTCCAAACCATCAGGGTCCAGTCCTAAGCTGTTCAACAGTCTGCTGCTGGGTGCAGGCCCTTCACAACCCAAAGCAGAGGGAACCAGCCTCCGAGATCTGCTGAACTCTGGCTCTGGCAAACTCCCGCAAGGGCCCACAGAGGGAGGTGTCCCATTTCCTCCAGTGTTCTCCACTGCTAGTGTACGTAACAGTGCTTTACCTTTAAATCATGTGAAACTGGTTTCGTACTGATATCAGTGATCTGGCTAAACATATTTAGCATGGTGTTAAATCATGTAAAGCATAACAGCTTGCTAATTCAAGGCAACAACATGTTAGTAATTTGGTTTGCTTGGTAGCACTGGTGTTCCTAACTTAATGTAGGCCCACCACCCAAAATTTTGGCACACCCACCAAAAATTATGTGCACCGTTACTACAAGTTTTATATCAACAGATTTATTGCATTTGAAATCAATACTAATCGAAACTATCAAAAAAACAAAAATCTGAATGCGCCCATTTGCCCTGCATGCAATGACGTGAATGAGATGAACTAAGTTAATGATAACAACTTTGCTGCTCTCACAGGTGTTGTCTGATATTGCACAGATAATATAGACATAAATTATTATTTGCATACGTCATCTTAATAGCAGTAACGGTCTATTCATGAGCTGCAATATTAGTTTAATCTTTGTGATGGCAAGCCCTTTTGTGATGGTGAACGCTAGGGATGCTCAAAATAATCGATTAACCGTTAATCGAAACGGTGCGTTTGTAACCGATTAATGGTACCATTAATTGTAACCGATTAATGGTAACGATATTAATGGTATCGTTTGTAACCGATTAATGGTTAAACGATTAAAAATAATAATTTATATATTTTTAGTTAGGCTGCATAAAGGGCCGATTGAAAGCGATTTTTGCGTTAAGAGAGGCATCTTTTGAACGGTTTACCAAAATCCGCAATTGTTTTGCATGTGGCTCATTCCAGAGCAGCAGTTTGTGTTGTCAAGACAACTACAGAGAACTTTTAAAGACATAGGAGAGACTAGTGCTGCTGTTTCAAGTTATCCAGAGCTGTATGAATTTACAAATCTTGAATATCACAATAGTATTAAATATTACAATTGTATACAAATATAGCAACATAGACAGTTACACTCTTGCACATTCAATACCCAGCCGATTCAGTTGTTTCATAGTGACATAAAAAAGAGGACCGCGCCTTTTTTCCTTGTCAAAAGGAGCGATGTGCGCCTCATGTTTTTGGAATGGAAAATCACGTTTGCTGTGATCAGACATATTTGTTAACTCGCGGGGCGATAACGTATGGCCACACGTGCCTACAGACATATTTGCCAAAGAAGCAAAATGAAAGAAGAATATTGCTGTTTGATACAGACGAGTCGATACCAAACCAGCGCTGATGCTGATGGCCTCCTGGATCTGCGTCATGAACACAACAAATGGGCTTTAGTTTTCATTTTACAGCTTATAAAGCATGTATGCAAATTAATGCAATATTATATTTAAACAACAAAACTGTTTACAAAAAGTCATTATATGCACGCGTTGCCATTGTTTTTTCATTACGCAGCGTGCACACTTGAAACACGAGTAAGAGAGGAAATATCAAGACATAATCTTTAAAGTAATGATTTCTATTAAAATGTAAAAAGGTTTTGTAATATAGGAATAACAGCGGGGCATTAAATAAGGAAGTCAGCTATTTTTTTTTGACGGAAGAAAAAAAACATGTGATTGGAAAAAAAAAAACAGCCTATGCCGGTTCTTAAAAAGGATCAGTCAGTGTTTTCGTTTTGTTCTCTAAATGAATTATTTAAGTGAAAATAGTTTAGGGCAGGCCTATTTATTTTATTTATTTTATTCAGTTTTTCTATGGCGTTGGAAACACTGCAGGTGTGTGAAGATGCTCTGTTGTAATGTTCTGTTATTAATATGCTAGCATGTTAAAATAAATCAGTATTTTAAAATGCAATATTTAATGTGTCAGCCGTAGACACGTCAATTTGTTTAAAAAAATTTTTAACAAAAATTTATTAACGAGTGATTTATTAACGAGATTAACGAGTGGCGGTTGTCGGTTAGTAAAATTAACCGAAATGAGCATCCCTAGTGGACGCCCAGCTAGTTGCACGACTGACAGCATTGAGACGATTAAATAAAGGATTAAATGGAACAGGACAGCAAGGCAGGAATCGAACTTGGGTCGCCACGAGCACCGAAGTGCATGTGTCGACACACCAACCACTACACCACTGGCGCCGACACACTGCAATAATTTTAAGCACTTGCACAAATGCTCCCAAATATATTTTGAAGTCGAATAGATAGTATTTCAGGCGCATATACAACAAAAACAGTCTCCATTTCGAGCTGTGCGAGCAATAAATGTTGTCATAAAATGAAACATCCTAATGTTTTTAGCTGTATGTTAAAATTTAGAAAAAATGTTAGCTTTGGTCATCATGTTAGAAACATTTGCAAGAGGTTAAACATGCTTGTTAGCATCTTTGTAACATGTTAATTCATCCAAGCAACTTGTTCGTCCATGATTAGGGAAATAATAAACATGATAGGAATGCGATTAAACATAGCTTTGTGGTAAACCAAATTTTCCTAACATTAGAACATGTTAGTCATGTGGTTAAACATGTTAGGAAGATGCAATCTAAACACCCGTTCATTTTACCATGTTAGCTACATGCAGATTAGGAAGGCAGCGAGTCAGAGATGTGTTAGCAACATGCTTATTCATGCAAGCATATTGTTAAATCATGTTAGCAATATAGTACAGCATAATTGCAACATGTTAAAGAGTTATCCATGTTTTTTTATGTTAGTAACATGTTATTGTCATGATAATTTATGTTAGCAACATCAAATAATTAGCAATGTGTTAATGCTATTTTTTCCACTAAGTTTAAGCTTTCGAGCTGTTTTAAATATTTTAGGTCATTTTTTTTTCTCAAGTGAAAAAAAGTCTGTCCCAACTACTATCTAACTTTATAAATATATTTCTTTCTCTCCCTCTTTAGCAGGCTGATAAAATGAAGGGAGGTCTTCCTAACTTCCTGGATCATATCATTGCATCAGTAGTGGAGACTAAGAAGTCAGAGGTTCGTCGTGCATCAGGTTCAGCAGAAGTCATCGAGTCTGCCACTGCTCCTCGCAGAGAGGGGGTGATGGGGCTGAGTGTCCTGGATCCACACACTTCACACTCTTGGCTTTGTGACGGCCGTTTGCTCTGCCTGCAGGACCCCAGTAACCCCAACAACTGGAAGATCTTCAGAGAGTGCTGGAAACAAGGACAGGTGAGCTGTGAAGGGCCAGTGGAGATGCTCTTGTATGATCAGTTGCGTTCTGCTAATGCTAATGAAGTGTTTTTCCTCTTTTTTTAGCCTGTGCTGGTCTCAGGCATACACAGGAAGCTGAAGGAACACTTATGGAGGCCTGAGGCCTTCAGCGAGGAGTTTGGAGACCAGGACGTGGACCTGGTCAACTGTAGGAACTGCGCCATCATCTCTGATGTTAAAGTCAGGGAATTTTGGGATGGCTTCCAGGTCATTTCCAGTGAGTACAGATGCTTTAAACTCCCAAGGAAAAAAATTGACTTTCAAATCTGTTAAAATGATTGGTAACTGTTAAAAAGCACTGCATCTTAGATCCCCCCCAGCTCTAATTGTACCCAGACCTAATAAAAAAATCAATTAAATCTTTCCATCACATTCAGAATTTTTTCAGCAAAATACTAATATTTTTTAAATTACATAAATGTATCAGGTGTTATCAAATGTGAGGAAAGTTTTAAAGTAAAAAAGATTTCAAAATGTATCATTTTAACTTGGTCTTCAAATCAGGACATTCAAATATATGTTCAAATGCATGCTCCATTTCATTAATAACAGAAAAAACCTGCCTCTCCACAACTTCAGCAATTTTCTGTGACTGATGCTTAGTAGTAAAGCACTCATAAATGGAGCAGAACTGACTATCATGTTAAAAAAAAACGAATTAATAAAAAATAAAAAGCAGTGTATGTAGTAGCAGTAGTTTGTAAACCAGTATTGAATTTTATGCTGTTTTAACCTTTAGAACGGTTGTGTTCTCCTTTCTTTAGAGCGATTGCAAGGTAGTGATGGCCAGCCTATGGTACTAAAACTTAAAGACTGGCCTCCTGGAGAAGATTTTCGAGATATGATGCCCACTCGGTAGGTTATTTGTCATTTTTAGCTGCACTTTATCTCTTTTGCACTTCTTGTCATATAGGTTTTGTAACTGAGCCTATTTTCCCTGTTTGCAGGTTTAATGATCTCATGGACAATCTTCCTTTGCCCGAGTACACAAAGAGAGATGGCCGTCTCAACCTGGCCTCTCGTCTTCCAAACTTCTTTGTTCGGCCAGATCTGGGCCCTAAAATGTACAATGCGTATGGTAAGGGATTATAATACACAGCCAATATAAAGAGACTCAAATATAAAAAAAGTGTGTTTGTGCTTTACCAGTTTACCGCATGGCATATATGTGTGAAGTTTTGAGATGAAACCTTACTGATAAATTTATGGGACTCCCGAAGCCTTGCGCATACCAGTATGCTTGTCACTTTCACTAATGGCAAGTATTTTTTGAGACCTTTTCACTAGTGATGAGTGTCAAGTGAACATGCAAACTACTCCCTGACATTAGATAGCGCTTAATGAAAAGCCAAAATACCAGTACACAAGGTGGCTCTGCGCCCTTTTACGATTCTGACACTCGCTTGTTGCTCAGAATTTGTCATCTCTCATGCTTTTTTGTGTTTGGTTAAGGCCCTATCCCAATTCTACTCCTAGCCCTTTCCCTTAACCAAGAGGTGTCACAATTCTTTTTAGCTTTAAGATGTAGGGTTAAGGGGAAGGACTAGATAGCCCTTGAAACAGAAATTTTTCAGGACCCACTTGAAACCAAGGGGTATGAAAATTTCCCAGAATACACCATCTACAACGGTAGTATGGCTGCACACGGAACGAGATGCAAAAATTAGTATTTTGTCATTATTACAAATTTTTAAATCAAACAAGCATGTTCGCTATCTATAATCTATAATAATAACTCCTGTATAGTAGTCATACAACATACTTTCTTATCTGACACTCGATGACACACGAATACCCTGTCAGAAAAGTCTAGTGGCTGGGAATGACCTTTTTACAGTGTCTGCTATAATATTTGTTGTTTTTGTGTGTTTACATAGATGAATATGGCCGCAGTGTGAATGCACTGTACAGTTACGATCTTATTGCTACATTATATCGTTATGATAACATGATATATGCCTTCAGTGATTTCCTGAAGATAAACACCAAAATAATAACACAACTGGAATAACTACAGCAGTCGCGATCGCCAATCTCATATGAAGTAAAAGATTGCAATGACATATGATGATGTGTGCCGGTGTTGTAGTGGTGTCATATTTCCCAAGGGTACATTTTGAAGCCCTTTCCCTTCCCGCTCTTTCTCCAGGGCCAAGGGGAAGGGGTAGGGGTACAAAAATAAAATTGGGATTGGGCCTATGCATCACGAAGGCTTTTTCCCTTCTGTTTAGCCTTTTCTAACACAGCACTCAAATGCCTGGTCAAAAGTTTGCAAGAAATTTACAAGCCTTGAAAAAAATGACAATAGTAAATGTGATGAAACTCACCATCAAATTCTGTTTGATCTGCAATTTTCTGTTTTAGGCTGTTTTGCGCTTGAGCTTAACCATGTCATGTCATCTTCAGCACCTCATTGCACATGAACAAAACAGTTTTTAATGCAGGGAATTAAATAAACATGATTTTTTTTAAACCACACTGTGTGCACATACTTGTTTAGTCATAAGAGTTTAAATATCAGCAATAATCGCACTGTGTGCATGAGCTGTGAGAGCCTTTATATTTTAAGATTTTAACTTTAGGTTTTTAATATCTTCCCTACTTTTTTGAACTAGTCCCTGTTTTTTTGTATCATTTGCCATGAAACCAGTGTTGTTAGAATAGAACTACACTGGAAGACAATGTTTCAATTTACTAAGATCTTTTATGTGAAGCTGTTTTGACACAATCTACATTGTAATAGCTCTATACAAATAAAAGTGAATTGAATTGAATTAGAATCTCTGGACTGCCAAGATCAATAATTATCAAAAAGTAGTTGACTTTTCCACTTTTGATAGCTATAATAGGCTGATTTACAAAAAAATTGTGTCTATATTAGGCATAGACTGGCATAAGATTCTGATGGTATGACAATCTTGGATAAAAATATCACAATTTCACGGTATTGATTACTGCTCCAAAATAAGTTATTTTAAATGTCTGGGTAAAAACCAACATATTTGTTTCCCCATTGAACACAATATATTTTATATTATGAAACATTAAAAATATTTTTAACCAGTAGCTTTTTTCGCCCTAAAAAACAAAATAAAATAGTTGTGAAAAACGTAAAAACATATACCTTGGAAACGCTATAACAGAAAACTTTGACTTTTCCAAACCGCAGTACACCTTGAAACTGGTTATCGTTCTATGCCTAGTCTACATGCACCTACATGCCTATTACCACAAGGAAAACACAAAACTTCATAAAATCTGTTGACCACATGTGGCAAATGACTGTAAACAAGCATGCAAAATTATGTGGCGCTATAGTTAAAAGTGTCTTTCATGTTTTTTTCAGGTCTGATCTCCACAGAAGACAGGAAGGTCGGCACCACTAACTTGCATTTGGATGTGTCTGATGCCGTCAACGTTATGGTGTATGTGGGCATCCCAGAAGGAGAGAATGACCAAGAAAGTGGTAAATATGAGTCAATTTTATTTTTGAAAGCAGCATCATTTAGAATATTACAGGATTTCTTGCTCAAATAATTAAGCTGTTGTTTGTGTTCACTAAAATTGCTGCAAATATTTTAGTTAAACAGGATAAAGTAAAAACTTTGTAACCATGAATATTTGAGTGATTTCTTTTTTTGAAGGTAAATTTTGAAGGTAAAAGGTAAATTAATCAAAAAGTCACTCAAGATAAAATAAAAATAAAAAACAAGATGATGTGTAATTTAATTTTTAGGTTTTCTTTTATTTGAAAATTCCACATCACCACGGACAGTTTCATATTTTTTTTAATGAAAAATGAAACAAATAAATAATTTTCCCTGAAAATTCTCCCTGTCCTTAAAGCTAGTTTTACTAAATGAAAATGTTTTCACATTCATGTTTTTTTTTTTTAAACTGGGGATAATGAGTTTGTAAGCGATTAAAGTGTGTTTGTGGATTTTTATTGTAGTTTATCAATTAGTTTGTTAGCCAACAAAACGTTCTGCATCTCCAAAGAAATTTAACTTGGCAAAAACTACAAACAACAGTTAAAAACTGTGATCTAGTAATGTAATACAATGAACATCAGTAAAATGTACTTAATTTTTAGATCATTAAAAGTTCTATTCACCACTTTGTACAATTTTAAAATGGTCTAACCTCACAAAAAAGTAAGCTATACAGGTTTGGATTTACATGTGTGATGGTGAATGAAGATCCAATTACTTTTTTTTGTGAACTTGCATTTTATGCTCAAGTTTCTAGCGTCTGAACGATAGAAAATCTACCCCTAGCTAAAGATAAACTAGAACAAAATAGCTGGAGTGCCTTGCAAAAGTATTCAGACCCCTCATTTTGTTACAATTTAGTTTTTTATCAATCAATTGTAGTCCCTAACGGTAGATTACACCCTGAGATCCTATAGACCTCCGTAAGAGTAGAAACCACATTCAATTTCCAGAACTAACTACTTTATATTTTATTCTATGAGAATTACAGCTTCATTAATGATCCCCAAAACGTATTGGGCGACTTTCCCTCCATTTTCACTGGTGACTTAAGGATTATCTCAACTAAAAATGAAAATTCTATTAATTGCTCGTCCTCATATATTGCAATCTTCTGACGCCTTTGTTCATCTTTGCAACCCAAATGATTAATATTAATATTTTAGATGAAATTCGAGAGCTCTGTCATCCTCCATAGCAAGGGTCCCGAGATGTTCAAAGTCCAGAAATGGGACCAAAACATTGTTACATCAGTGGTCCTCATGTAACCAATATGAAGCTCCAAGAACACTTTGGTTTGGCAAAACAAAACTGTAACTGTAATGCTGTGTTCACATCAGACGCAGCACACACTAATAAATTACACTATTGGCAAGTAAATAAAACATTTTGAGTTTACTCGCTTGAAATGTGCATCAAATTCGCTTTATTCGCACAGCAAATTCACTTCACATTAGACGTGCCATGGACAGGGCTTCTGTCTGCCTGTTGACTCTAGCATTGTTTATTAATGGCTAGCTTGGATTGTAGTAAGAGAGTAGCTGTTTTTTATGTGCTTTAGGGAAGCTAAAAAACAGCGTTTATTCGTTCGGTGCTGTGTCTAAGTCTACTAGATCTTTTCAGAGGTGCACCCAGCACTGTGAGTTCATCAACTCCTTTAGAAACTATACCAGGCTTTCAGCAGTGCTTCAGACTGAGCCGAGCCCAGTTTGATGAACTATTGTCCGGTGTCGGCAAGAGGATTTTCCCCCGAAACACCAACTACAGGCGCAGGCGCTATTCACTCTTACAAGAGCAATCTCCTGATTGGTTAACGCAGCGCAAATATCCACTGGAGTTCAGACTTTCCAACTCGAGCAATTCATTCGTCAAATGCACAAAATGCTCAACTCGCGCCGTTTCATTTGTAGGAATCTTTGAAACACAAAATAAGATCATTTGTGCCGCAGGATGTCTATTCGCGTCTTTGCATTGGCTAGCATGTAAATCACTCGTGCTTGATGCTTCATCCGCGTCTGGTGTGAACGCAACATTAAAACATATTTGTTTGCCTGTATCTTCTCTTGTACTTTAAGTCATCAGGGTGCGTATTTAGTCAGTCAGCAGCGTTTTTACATATTTATTTATCAGAATTTATTCAAAATTTTATTTTATCACTTTCTTTATTTTTGGATCACAGTTGTGTTATTAGAGCTTCATTTGATTACTGTTTGATCCACTGATGTCACATGGAATGTTTTGACAATGTACTATTATTCTTTAAATTTGGTCTCCGCTCTGAATGAGGTCTGTCATGGTCAAATCTGTAGATGATGAGCTAGTGTAGCATTAGTTAACATTCAGCTAAACCCTTGGAACGTTCAAAACTCTCACATAGCAGTGAGTCGGACCCAACCAAGGCTTTAAGAATGGCCTGTGCTCTTGGGGTCTTACTACTTTTGATTGTGGCACCATTTCTCATTTGCAGAAGCAGACCTCGCTGGATTCAAAGGTCTGTGCATATTTTTCATTCGTCTCACTTCAGGCATGCCCTCCCACTTCTCTCGCTCTCTCTTGTTCTTCACTCCCATTGTTTTAACCCATCTATTAATTCTCTTTAAGCAAAAAACGATTTTGGTAGTTCATTTTTGTAATTGGTGTAAACAGTAGAGATGCACCGGTTAAGCAACCATATATAAGAACTAGCAGGTTTTAGCACTAAGTTGGCAATGGGATGTTGTTTTTTCTGCCTTATTTCACAAAAATCCTAAATATTGAATATATAAATATTTGAGGGGATTTACTATTGAAGTGTTTAATGTTGTTTTCTTTTTGTCTTGTGTCTCTAAAATGGATATTAAAGCAGTGTTTAACTGTGCAGGATTGCTTTGATTATAACCTTACAAAAACGAAAGTCTTATGTTGTTGCTGCTCTATAGGCACCACTTTGGTGGTTTAGCATTTTAATTTGGCCTGTCTACTTTTGTTTTATGCAGGAATTTTTTTGTTGCTTTTTTGTTTGCTTTTTTAACAGAACTTAAGCTATAAACTATTTAGTTTTAAACTATCAGCTTAAACTATTTAGTTTTGCTTCAGATTGTGAAAGTACTAATTCAAATCAAATTTAAACTAAATGTGCAGGGGTTTCCTTCTGTTTTAATTGGCTAGAATAATTTCATTAAGTAGGACATGTTCCTGGAACAACATTCCAATCAGATTTAAGGCATAGGTTTAGAGTTTAGCTTAGGCTCACAGGTAGGGTTATGTGCTTCTGCAATCAATTATCTCAAACTATTAATCCCCTCTTTTTTTTGTCAATAATTTACAAATAGGAAGGGTTAGGTTTTGGTGTAGGGACTGGGTATGGAATATAAGTTGTAGTAAGGCATGTAATTCCTAAAGAAAGATGTCAAGTTTTTTTCTATTATTATTTAATATAACATTTTGTAAATTTATTGTAAAAATATTAAAACATCTAAAGCCCAGCTCACACTGTGAGATTTCAGTCACAATTTTGTCATCTGAGACAAATTTGGGAAATCCTAAAAGATTCCTGAAATCCTAGGCAAAAATCGGTGATCTTTGATTGTTGGTTTGACATGTTCACAGACAGCTGCTTAATGCCTGTTGTGATCATATTTTCCCTCCAATGGAGTTCTGACAGTGTCTGAAGTTTCAGACACTTTCCTGCAGTGTGACAACAGTTGCGATGAGTATCAATTTATGAACCAATAGGAGGAGCACAGAATCTAATGACGCAATCCATGTGACGCATCCAAATGATTGCGGGGAAATGTCAAAGCAGTTTATTCTTACTGTTTTTTTTTTATTAAGGCATGTTGTGTGCAAAATTTCAGCTACAGATTGTTTACGTTTCCTGTAAGGAATAATTTCAAAACGTGAGATAGTAAAAGTGTCACGGGTGGATGACATCAAACTCTGGGGGAGTTTCTTCTGTGATTGGTGGTGCATCTTCATTGTTGTTCAGTCTGACGTTATGAAGGCTGAGATCTTACAGTGTGACATGGGAGCCATGTTCGTGCTGTCTGACATGCTACAAAAGTTTAGGATTATAAAAAAAATCGCACAGTGTGAACCAGCCTTTAGATGTTTTCAGAATAGACTAAATTGCCTTATTAAGATCGGTGCATCCCTAGTGAACATTGTACCTCATAGTGCTCTATATTGTAAACTCCATTCAGAATCGATTAGGATACCAAAACATAGTGACCATAGTGTTGCTGTTGCATTTCACGATGTCCCTTCAGATCACATGGTTAGTTGGTTATCTTTACCATTTAAAGGGGTCATATCATTAAAAAAAAGGTATAAACCTGTTTTTGATTTAAACAAGTATTCCAAAAAACCCACATTCTTCTTGTTGGAAGTTTTTTTTTTAGTTCTATAGTATTAGTATATAATAGCATGTAATTGTCTGTGACAAACCAGAATCAAAAACAAGAACTTGATGTGACAACTGGATGTAGAGTTCTGCTTGAACACATCACAAAAGACCAACTAGCCATAAAACCTCCATACCAGCCGGTGGCAGTTTATGTTCAACATTCAAAGAAAACCATAATGCTATACAAACTAAACACAACCACACATGCTTAACATTTTAAAAATCATCATGATAAAATATAAGAGCAGCTTTTTGTCTGTGCCCTCTTGACTTTAATGTTTGCTTGCTGCTTTCACTTTTGCTTTTCATCTTGTTCGATGGTTTGCCAAACTGCCGATCAGATCTGTCTGACTCAGATTTATCATGCACAGTCAACCCAAAACACTGACAACAGAGTCTGCTGGTGCAGAATTCAATGCAAAAGATATATCAGACAGCTGCTCAAAAATGGCCTCTTTATTGGTCAACTGACTCTCAAGGCCTTGTTCATTAAATAGGTTGCTCTTTCGAGCTGTTACAAACATTATTCTTATTTTTGATATTTGTTTTCAGCCTATGACCCCTTTAAATATTTTTGATCAGTCTTAGAAAAATAAAGAACAAAAGCATTATTTCCATGCTTCTCGGTGGTTGGTGATGGACTTTCATATCCTGCCATTCCTTTGTTTTAATACCTCATTTAAAGGTGTTTTAAATGGCAATTTGTTTTTATTCCAGCAGAAATATGCTTCCTCTTGTTATTGCATACAATTGTATTTTGACTCTACTGCAGTTTATTCGTGATGAGTAGATGTTTGATGTATAGTGTTTATGCAGTTTGTGAGTGTCGATCCTTTCCTCCAAGTCTGTCTCTTTGCTTGGTCTGCTTCCTTGATTTACTTAGGCTGTCAGTGGATTAACATATTTCAATGTAAACCTTTTTTGTAGTACACATTCAAGACTGTAGTTTCAGATACATGCATATTTAGTTAAAAAAATCTGTTTTCTTTATTTAATCTTGTGTATTTTGTTCTGAAGCTCTGCTCTGTTATGTGTAATTGCAATAACTTAAGATGCTTTAGTCTGCAACAGTTGTAAATGGCAAGAAAACGTTCATTGTGGTGGATTTCATTTAAAAATCCTAAATGCTTTGTGCCTGTCAGTAATTTTGTGTGTTCGTGTTTTGGGGGCGTATTCTGAGAGCAGGGAGACAGGATGTGTGCTTGAAAATAGTTCAATTCAATTCATGTTTGTTTCTATAGCACTTTTACAATGTAGATTGTGTCAAAGCAGCTTAACATAGATGTTCTAGTAAACTAAAACTGCAAGTCTAGTTTTTAGAGGTGACGTTGAGTTTAGTTCAGTGTGGTTTAAATTTCACTTCTGAAAGTCCATGAAAATAGCAACATGAGACGGATATAATGTCATTTTCATAGCGTTAAAGATTTTGTATGAACACATTTAACATTGACAGCCCTGTTGCTTAGTAGTTGCAATAGGTTGTTGAATTTTAAGTCATAAATATCTATGGTGTTTCTGGTTATGTAGTCACCCAACTAATCTTTCCAAACCCTTTGTAGAAGCAAATAAGGTTCTAGCCATCAGAATCAATAGATCAGCTTTATTTATGGAAAGGATAATGTCTTATGAATGGTTATGGTCTGTGTGTGTGTTTGCTGAACTTCCTGGCTTCACTGCAGAGGTGATGCAGACTATTGAAGAGGGTGATGTAGATGACATGACGAAAAGAAGAGTCTACGAGATCAAGGAGAAACCTGGGGCTCTCTGGCACATCTATGCTGCCAAAGACGCTGAGAAGATCCGAGAGCTCTTACGAAAGGTAAAGAGTAACCTTAGCTAGGTTTCCATCCAAATTAGAATCTGAATTAGGTTTTATGTGTAAAACTGGAATATCACATGAAAAATTTGATAATCACATAATCTATGAAACAAAATCCTATGCATTTTATATGCGTATGCTATAATTTCTTCAGTAAAGTTTCCATCAAAGTTTAAGTGCATTTTTTTTTTATCGAATTAAAAATTTATCCTACTCAATTGAGCATACTTTTTATTATTATGGGTATTTTTAAAGTTATGCACATCTTGCTGTTTCCATTAAGCATTTTTATGCAATAATCCAAAATGCACATAAACATAGGTGGATGGAAACATATCTACTGCCTGTATGAGGTTTTATGATTCCTAATAATAAATCTTAACATTTGCAGATTCCTGGTGTTCCACTTTTTATTTGTTAATACAGTGATTGACTGAAGTTTTTCTGAAATTTCTGTTAATTGCAGGTTGGAGAGGAACAAGGTCAAGAGAACCCACCAGACCATGATCCTATCCATGACCAGAGCTGGTACCTGGACCAGACGTTGCGTCGCAGGCTGTATGAGGAGTATGGAGTCCAGGGATGGTCCATTGTGCAGTTTTTGGGAGATGCAGTGTTCATCCCAGCTGGAGCACCACATCAGGTTCGTTTTGTGAGAAAAACTCTAGTGCTACATTGTAGCAGTAGCAATACATTGCATTTTCAAAACTACATTCAGAACCTCCCAGAACACCAATACATAGTGGCCATTGTGTTTTCGTTACATTTCATTATTTGATGCTTAGTTCAGAACAATAAAACGCACAAAAATCGAGTGGTTTTAAACAGTAATGAGTATTTTTCTTCTGCTGAACACAAAAGAAGATATTTTTTAATGTTGGTCCTCAGTAGGCAGCCATTGACTTCTATGATATTATTGCCCAATGCTTGTAAAGTACTACAGTTTTTTTTCTTAATATTTAAAAACTTTCTGCAAAAAAAATTTGATGGGATGTAAATGAGGAGTAAATTTTCATATTTATTAGATAAATGGATCATGGAATTTCTTAAAAAAAAAAAAGCTGATCCAATATTCCAGTTCATTGCTCTGAGACGGTTTTTATATTGTGACTATTTTTGTAAGCAGACAATTCTATCAGTGTTGTGTCTTTAAATTTAGACATTTAGATATATAGTACTAAACTACACTCACCGGCCACTTTATAAGTTACACCTGTCCAACTGCTCATTAATAAATCGCGGAACACACAACACATCCAACCTTAAGGTGGACTGGCTATAGCAGCCGAAGACCACAGCACGTGCCATTCCTGTTAGCTAAGATCCGGAAACTGAGGCTACAATTCGTACAGGCTCACCAAAATTGGACAATAGAAAATTGGAAAAATGTTGCCGGGTCTGGGTCTCTGGGTCGAGTTCTGAAGGCAAAAGGGGGTCCAATCCGGTACTAGTAGGGTGCATCTAATAAAGTGGCTGGTGAGTGTATATCATAAAAAACTGAAGAAAAAAAATCTGCATTTGGGTTAATTCTAACTTCTTTATTTATTTATTTCAAAGTGACTTCTTGATAAGTTCATCTTTCATATTAAAACAACAAATAAAGCATTATTGATTGTTCATGAATGAATCAGCCTTTTGTGGGAATGAATTTAATTAATTATTCAGTCACTTATCGCCCCGTACTGGTGGTCTTCATTTTTTAAATTTCATTTATTATATATATATTATATATATTTATTATTATATTCACAACCTTTAATTAAATTAAGTAGTCTTTTAACATTGCTATTTTCAATGTAAATTCATTAATGCTCTGAGCCAGAAAAACTATAATAACACTAAAATAATAACTTCATTAACTTTTATATTTAAATTATTTGCAGTTCTTGTGCCAATTGTAAAAATAATATTACTCACACTTTTGTGTGACACTGCTTAGCTATATCACATAGAATTCTAATTAACAATATTAGCAAAAGTGGATTTTTTCTCCTAAGATACAGTAAAGTAAACTTTCTCCAGATTAAACGAATGGCTCAATTTGGATAGAATTCATCATTTTAAATTGATTGGGATGATTTTGTAATTTAATGCATCTGCATAAAATATAATAAATCAGATTACAAGGATTGATTAACACACATGCAAATGATTTTTTATGGGAGTTTAGCAGTATTCAGTCAAAACAGTAGTGATCAAATGTCAAAATAAACCATTTTAAGGTCATTATTATTAGCTCTTTTAAGCTATATTTTTATCGATAGTCTACAGAACAAACCATTATTATACAATAATTTGCCTAATTACCCTAACCTGCCTAGTTAACCTAATTAACTTAAGCCTTTAAGTGTCACTTTAAGCTGATTAAAAGTGTCAAGAAGAATATCTAGTTAAATATTATTTACTGTCATCATGGCAAAGATAAAATAAATCAGTTATTTGAAATGAGTTTTTAAAACTATTATGTTTAGAAATGTGTTGAAACAAAATCTGCTCTCCATTGAACAGAAATTGGGGAAAAAATAAAAAGGGGGTCTAATAATTCTGGCTTCAAGTGTGTGTGTGTGTGTGTGTGTGTGTGTGTGTGTGTGTGTGTGTGTGCGTGCGTGTGTGCGTGCGTGTGTGCGTGCGTGTGTGCGTGCGTGTGTGTGCGCGTGTGTGTGCGCGTGTGTGTGCGCGTGTGTGTGCGCGTGTGTGTGCGCGTGTGTGTGCACACTTCTTGACACTCAGATCTTTGCCTTTTCAGGTGCACAACCTGTACAGCTGTATCAAAGCTGCAGAAGATTTTGTTTCTCCAGAGCATGTGAAGCACTGTTTTAGACTGACGCAAGAGTTTCGCCACCTTTCCAACACTCACACAAACCACGAGGACAAGCTACAGGTATTTCTACATTTCTTTCCTCATGGAATTTCTAGAATGTCATGCAACTTTAAAAGGTCTATTTCAGACACTGAAGGTCAGTGGATTTGATCCAAGTCATGAAATATATATATATATATATATATATATATATATATATTAAGGGTGTCACGATTTCGATTTTAATCGAAAATTGATCGAAATTTATGCTCGATTTAGATTATCGAATCAAAAAATAGAATCGTTGATGCTGCCACACCCCCATGTCACATCAGCTGACACGCTTGTTGAAGTGCTTGTTTAACTGTGCAGACGCAGGAGACCCATCGTCAGAGCTTAAACCTTCAGGGCTCGACAAAAAGGACTGCCCGATAGCCCGGAGCCAGCGTGCAAGACGCTCGGGTTAGTGTACAGTGCTGCCTTGTTGACTGACAGATTGAGCCAGAGCTGCGTGCTGCGACTGTCTGTCAATTGTGTGCAAATACAATCTCACGCTGCTTTTACACATAGACGTTTGTTTCGGAATCTGTCTCGTTTCCCCCGTTAGCGCGGTTTGGCATATATCCAGCAGTTGCGCTCGCATCCGCGCCAAATCAATCAGTCCGAGATCGCCTGAATGAGACGGTCTCTGCCCTACTGAGCGGATCGATTGTAGTGAGAAAACAAAACAATGCAACGAACTAACGACCCAGGCTATATCACAGTATATTATGATTGTGTAATAGCCATAGCCTATATACGGCTATATGTAGAGAGAATGATGAGCAGGGCGAGATGTCATTCTTACCGGTAAATGCGAAAGTGAAAGCATGCTGAAATATTACCGAGAGCTGTTAATCAAGCCTGATCTCGGTTTATACGTCAGGAAAATTGACCGAAATTACTATCTGTTAATTTTTCCATATTTTAATCGTATAATATGTTGTATTAGGCCCAGGGCCGGCGCATCCATAGAGGCGACCTAGGCGGCCGCCTAGAGCGGCAGTATGGAGAAGCCGGCGTCCGCGACACCTCCCTCACCATCCGCGTCCTCAGATATATTCGTGCATAAGCGACAGAATAGAGAGGGCGTCAGCGACACCTCCATCAGCACCTACATGTCCTCAGTTATATCCGCGCATAGGGCAACAGAATAGAGGTCTGCGACACCCGCGCGTCCTCAGTTATTTCCGCAAATAGGACGGCAGAATAGAGAGAGCAGCGTCGGCGACATCTCCCTCGCTCCCTCAGCACCCGCACGTCCTCAGTTATATCCGCGCATAGAACAGAATAGAGGTCCGCGACACCGTACTTCATTTTCATAACCGGTCACTTTTGTTTTCACATATTGGGGTTGAGGGCGGCATGATCGTCCTCTGCCTAGAGCGGCAGTTCAGCTTGCTCCGGCCCTGATTAGGCCTGTTGTTTTGTTCATTTCCGCACTGACAGCTCGAAAGAAAGATTTACATTGATCTGATGCAGTCTTGGTTCATCTGCTATGTCTCTCTATAATTTAAGCCTATAATGCAGAATTATAGTCAACGTTTCTTTAATAGATTGATTAATTCAACAGATTGATTTTTACAAAACCTGACAATTGAAATGAGGCTCTGTATATATGAGAAAGTCTGACCTCTGCTTTATATTCGGTGACGATGTCTGTGGGTTGTTAAAATTAAAGTGCACATTTTTGCTTCTAAAATATTCTATACACAACTGGTCAAAAGTTTGGGGTCAGTATGATTGTTAAATATGTTAAACTAAGCTTCTTCTGCTCACCAAGGCTGCAATTATTTCATCATAAATACAAATTGTGAAATGTTACACTATAAAATAACTGTTCAAAAGTAGTTCATCATTTAATTTATTCATTTATTCCAGTGATTTTACAGATGAAATTTCAGCTTCATTACTCCAGTCACATGATCCTTCAGAAATCACTAATATTAATTATTATTATATTTATTAATAGTAATAGTAACAAAAGCAATAATGTCTGGAGTAATAACTTTATTTGAAACTACATACAATAACAAAGTAGTTATTTAAAATTTTGATAAATATTTAACAATTTAACATTTTTTACATTTAATAAATGTAGCCTTGATGAACTGAATAAGTTTTCTTGAAAACATTAAAAAAAATTACTGTAAATATATATATATATACAGTGGAGGTCAGAATTATTAGCCCCCCTTTGTTGTTTTTTTCTTTTTAAAATATTTCCTAAATGATGTTTAACAGAGCAAGGAAATGTTGATAGTATGTCTGATAATATTTTTTCCTCTGAACAAAGTATTTGTTTTATTTTGGCTAGAATAAAAGCAGTTCTTATTTTTTTATGAACCATTTTAGGTCAAATTTATTAGCCCCTTAAGCTAATTGTTTTTCAGACTGTCTCCAGAACAAACCATCAATATACAATAACTTGCCTAATTACCCTAGCCTGCCTGGTTAACCTAATTAACCTAGTTAAGACTGCTTCAATCTTTTACTTTCACACTAGTACTTAGTCATTTTAGCAAAAACTTCAGATACTGTTGGCTGGTTCCTGTTGGTTGTGCACCTTTTTTTACCGACGCCATAATAACGACAGAGATCACTGCCTATTCACAAGAAAAAAGTGATTGACAGGTGGTAATTATGTGTGTACCTTGCCTTTATTCATTTACTGTATGATTTATTTATGGGTAAAACAAAGACCATACAGGTCAGGTAGTTTAAACGGTAGACTACAAATAATTAATTTGTTATTAATTAATTAATTATTCATAATCGAAAATCGAATCAAATCTTGACTTAAGAATCGAAAATCCAATCGAATCGAGAATTTGGAGAATCGTGACACCTCTAATATATATATCTAGTTTGACACTTATATAGCTTTATTTTGGTGCTTCATATTGTTATCCCAAGTCTAATTTTCAGCTACGTTTTACTGGGTGTCACTTAAGTCAAGTGAGTGACTGGACTTTACCTATTAACCAACACAAGCATTCAAGGATTTTATACATAATAGGGGCTTCAGGTTCAAAATGACTATTTTGATTAGTGGCTGTTAAACAGTAGGTGACAAAAAGCTAAATGTAAAGTTTGTAAAACTGCTATTGAGCTATCAATCATGGAAGCATGTGCATTCACAGCCAAGCAAACAATAAGTACCTCCGAATGTGTTCAAAGTATGAGGTAAATGATTAGTTTTTGTTTTTACTGTGCTTAATAAAGTCATGAAAAATTATATTCAAGCTTAAATCAATTTAATATTATGCAACGCACAACAGTGGCATGTTTTCTCATTCATTTTACAGATATGTCAAGCTAATTCGGCTGTTTCATCAATGAAAAGCAGAGAAATTGATGTTTGGTTTTGAGCAGGAACCGTTTCCAAACATTTAGTTTTAAATTTTATTGTGCGAATAAAAAATTGCTTTGGCGGGTTGACAATTTTGTTGGTTTTAAAATGTAAATTTTAATTGCAACTTGTTTAACAAAGCTGTGTACCCGGTGCATAGCACAAACCGCATGGGCCCACCCACAAGAGGAGGTGAAGGAAAGTTGAATCTAAATCCGACACCCGGTTTTTCACTCCTGGTTTTCATAACACTTATTGATTTAGCATGGTCTGATTGACAAGCAGCACCTAAAAATGTTCAAAAGAATTTAAAACACCAAATAGGATGAATTCATACCCCATTTCGAAAGTAAAACTTACTCTAATAGGTAGTGTAATTACAGTTTGTGAGTGAGAGGGGGCAGCGTTTCATTGTGACCCGGTTATGTTGTGGTTCTGTGACTGCTGGTGTTGGTTGCTGTATGGTTGAAAATTATGACTGTTAAAATAACTAAGTTAATTTCGATTTAAATAAATAAATTCAAATATTATGACAGTTTTTTGTGTGTGTGTTTGGGCAGGCTTTAGACAGCTTTTGGGCTATAAAAAGTCAGCTATATCTGGCAACACTGTCTGTGTAGCAGTTTGTTTCAATCTTTCCAGTAAGCTTTGATGGAAATAAAGCTTGTCAAGCACTGGTTTAATGTCATATTTCCATTGTTTACAGGTGAAGAACATCATCTACCATGCTGTGAAGGATGCTGTGGCAACACTAAAAGCCCATGAGCCCAAATTAGGCCGTTCTTAGTTGGACGCCACAATGAGATTTCGGGGTTCGGATGAGGCCATTGTGCAAAACAAGTTGTTTATAATGGAAAGTCTCTCAAAGTTTTGGTAGGATGAAGGTGCTGCTTCATCAGTGTTACAAAAGCATCTTTTAGTTTTACAATCCTCCTCTCTGCATTTTTAAAAGTCTGTTCTTTTCTCAGCATTTGTTGGACTGTTCAAAGAGCCGGTTATATAGCTGACGTGAATCTTTTAAAAGGCCTTCAAACAAGGTTTCATTACCAACGTCTGTGAAAAGTGAGCACTGGGTTTCCTTCTTAGAAAACATTGCTTTGTGCTCTTCAATGAAGGAGAGCTTTTAGTTCAGATGTGGGCTCAACAGAAATTTAGTTCATTGATAGATTCCCAACACCTTTTCAAGGAAAGGTGGACAAGAGCATGGAAGGGAACTAGACCAAAGTTTTTTTTTTTGTTTAATTTTATTTAGTTTTTTTGGTAAAAACACGTCTTTTGCTTTTTTTGTAATATGAACTTTAGGTAATATTTCACTGACAACAAGCGTTAGATTGGCTTTGATGAATGGTATTTCATGAATCAACAGTTCCAGTTCTGCAGAACTACTGGTCATTAATGTGTATCAGTATATATATTGATCTTAGCAGTGTGCATGATTTTTTTCCCTCCAAAATAAAGGTTTACAAGAAAAGATTTGGCCCTGTTGTTTGAAATGACAATGAATTTCTTAGCTATCTATTTGTTTAATGCTTACTGTTTTATTTTATAAGACATTTTGTGGTTCATGGATGACACTGCAATAAACTAAGGCTTTTGAAATATTGCCTGTTTGCTTTTTTTTTGGAGAAAGAGGAATTCAAGATGTGCTGCTTATAGCTTTTAATGCATTTCATTCATTTATTTTCCTGCGGCTTGGTCCCTTTAATCATCACAGGTCACCACAGTGGAATGAACCGCCAACTTATCCAGCATATGTTTTACACAGCAGCTGCTTTCCAGCTGCAACCCAGTACTGGAAAACATCCATAAACACTCATACACTACGGCCAATTTAGTTATTTAGTTCACCTATACCTATACCTACGGTGTAAACCGGAGCACCCGAAGGAAACCAACTCAAACATGCAAACTTCTCACAGAAATGCCAATTAACCCACTAGGGGCGGATTTGTCTTTCCTTTAAGCCAAATTGTTTCCTATGGTTTAAACCATGTTTCTTTTCAAAGAATAATCAGGAAATCTTGCATATAAAGCAGAGATACTGCCATGGGCGTTATGTAAGTTACTTATCAGGTTACATTTATAAAAAACAATATGAAATTTCACAATTTAGGTAAATGTTAAAGTCTCTACAAGTGATTTTTTTTACCACAGATTTGACACTTTTGTCTTTTTTTTCTTTTCTAAAATGTTCAAAGGAAAAAAGAGGAAACCATTGGGAATTTATTAAATTATTAACAGGTGGATGCTAATTTTATTGAACCTACATAATATCATAATATATTATCATATATATTATGATATATATGACATAATATATTTTCACATCACAATTCTAGATTTGTTTTTCATAAAGATAAACGTGTAATTTTCCATAAAATCAGTGTATCTTTTAACAACCATTATAAATCAATTAACCAATTAAATAGAAATCCAAAATACTGTATTTACTGCAAATTATTTGTATGATAAAGCTGTGGTAAACAGAAATTACTCGTTGATGATATTAAAAATATACATATTTTATTTAGTAACTCTCATTACTGTGTGCCATATTTAGAGGACCCCATATTTTACTCTGTTAGATATAATACAATGTAATTTAAATGTTATGATAATGTCCTTTTGATTACCTGCCCTGCATCTTCACAATATCCACATTTGGAAAGTCAATCTTAAGAAATAAGACGTTATTTGCCAGAAGAGATGCATCATTTGCCAATAGAGGGCGCTACGAAAAACGGATCTAAAATTTCTTGAAATACAACCACATTCTTATTCTATTAAATGAAATGAGATAAAAGCTTAGTACACACAAAATATCAGGGTTTTCTGGTGCTGTGATCAGACATTTATATCAGTGTGAATGATGGAAGAAGACACATTACTGAGTCACATTCCTGACCAAAAATTCCTCATTGGGCCACTTGCACCCACCTGACTGTACTTAATTCTAACAGTACGTTTCCCTGAGGTATTTTGGGAGGCTGGAGACCTCCAAGAACTTGTCCCAAATGTCACCTTAACGTTCTTGGGTGTCCATAATTTTATGAAGTGATGCCCATTTGACTGTCAAGTATTTTTCTCAGTATAAGCTTGGCAGAGGGTGCACACTGAGGGCGCATAGTGGCCACAAAGGGAACTGAGCACACTTTTAAAGTTCAAATGATGAATGGGACACCACGTGGACTTAGTGCACGTGGAGGTAGCCATTGCAAGTCTACTAGACTGCAAGTACACTTATAGTGTGGTTTTTGAAACAGGGCCCAAGGAGAATAATTATTATGCCTTCAGAAGGTGGAGACCATGGTGGGGATGTGAGGTGCATAAAAAGGCATGTACTAAGTAAGCACTACTACCTTCTTTATGACCATTATAAATGTGTGTTATGAATAATAATAGTATGAATGTAATTTGGATGTACCACAGCTGCTATGTTGTTGCTTCACAAACCATGGGCCTCATGGGAAAGTAAATTGGTCCATTAGATGCACACTTTAGTATTTTTCCATATACTATGAATTTGTACACACTACTCCATTTACATACTAGTTGTATCCTAAATGACACACTATACATGCACTTTTACACTATAAACTCAATAGTGCAGTGTTTGTGTTTAGTGTTATGCCAAATTGACCCTTTTTTTTTTTTTGTACTAACCAGAAATTCATAGTTTCCAAGATGACGAGAGGGGTCTGGATGCAGACCTGATGCAGAGCAATCTGAGCTGCATCCAATGCTTTTTAATGGGCTCACCTAACCCTAACCATCACAGTGACGTCACTCACTTCATTGAGTGCATTGTGTCTGACATAGAATCGCTGAGTGATGCAATCTCAGCTTGCATCATAAAGGCTGCATCCAGATGCTATTGAAGATGATGCTTAACATTTGTTAAATTATAGTAAAATAAATCACCAAACTTAAAAATAGTACCTTTCATGAGTACCACAGCAATTGGGAGGAGGTATAATTGTATCCATTGGAGAATTTTGCTTGCACTTGAGTCATAGCTTAATGACTAACTGGACCAGGTCCACTACCCAATGAACCCTTTTCACATTTTTTTCACACGTTTTTTTCAGTAGCGGATGTCATCATAGTTGGGTAAATTTAGAGCACAGTGAATGTGAAGAGTAACAAATATTTTTTACAATCTTATTGTCTGAAATAATAAAAGAAAAACTCCACGAGCCTTTCAGAAAGAGTAAAAAATAAAATAAAGAATAGAGTGAGACTGATGACAGCTGCTAGAGGAGAGAATAATGTCAAATTTGCTGTCCCGCCCATAGAAGCTGCATTACAAACACCTTGCATAAGCGATCATTTGCTTTTAATAATTTGACGCAACAGTGATGTAATACGTACATAAATACATATAAACGTTCATACGTTTTTAAAAATCTAAATATTAAAAACTTTCAAGGATTTAAGATTATGATGAACGTTAAATGCGTCATAACAGTCTTGTGAAAAGGGTCCATTGACAATCGTCTCCAGCTCCCCAACCCTAAACCCAACCATCACAGTCGTATGAGCATTAACTCTGGGCATTACAAGGCCCACCATATTGGACCAGGTCCACTGCGTCATCGTGATACTGTGAAATCATGAAAATAAAAAAAGTCTAACCTCAGCACCAGGGGTTTAAAGTAGCAAATAACAAATACTTTTATGACTGTAACTAGTAATCATTTTTCAAATTGTAATTTACTAGTTTTAAAATGGTGTACTTTTACTTTTCCTTGAGTACATTTTTATTGCATTATCGGTACTTTTACTTCACTGTTTTCCTTCAACCTGCAGTCACTAATTTATTTATTTGTCTATGGTGATTGGCTAAGTACAAAAATCAGTCCTGTGATTCCTGTCCAATCAAATCACACATAGAAAGTAAATCGCATCTGAACAACCTCAAGACATAGGCCCTTTATAAATGCAGCAAACTGTTTGAAACCATTAAAAATGTCCAAGAAGATGTCCAAAACATTGCACGCAATGACCCAGAGACCGTCACTGATAAGAAAATAAAGGATATTGACTTTATGAAGACTGAAATCACCAAACAGCCTTAAACAATCACTAAATGGATCGAATGAAGAATTGTAAAAAAGGGCAGAATGAAGGAAGAGCCAAACAAGGAATGGAAGGAAGGACCAAATAAAGGAAAGAAGGACCGAACTAGGCGGTTCATTCCGCTGTGGCGACCCCTGATGAATAACGGGAATTAGCTGAAAAGAAAATGAATGAATGAGGACTGAACTATTGAAGGAAGCAAAGACCAAATGAATGAAGGACTGAACAAACTAAGGAACGAAGGAGAAATGAATGAATGAATAAATGAACAAAGAACCAAATGAAGGAAGGAACAAAAGAATGAAGGAATGAATAAAGGAGTGAACAAATGAAAGAAGAAACAAACAGACGAATGTATGAATGAAGGACATAACACACAAACAATTAAAGGAAGGATCATTAAATGCACTACAGAATGTTACATCCTGCACAAACTGAATGCAAATGCATCAACTTTTAACAGCTTAACACTCACTATACTCTTAACTTATAAAAGAGCTTCTTTTTACTCGTAATATTCACAACAGATACTTTTACTCTACTTGCATTTTTGGGCAAGTAATGGTACTTTTACTTGAGTATTATTTTTCAGTACTCTTTCCACCACAGCTCAGCCCCCATTAGCCCCTCCACTTCTGCAATGTGATCAAAACTGTTAGCGTTTAGTGCAGGAAAGTGTGTTCAACATTCCACACTTCTATTTATCAGTTGAATATGTACTTGACCTGGGTATTAAAGGGTGAAATGTACAGTTTTGTTTGATGTGTGATGTAATTTGAACTGAACCATGAGGACTGGGCTGGACATAGAGTAACTCCTCCACCTTTTTAAAACAGCCAATAACGTTTTGTTTTTATCAAACTGCCAGTGGGAGTAGTTAAGCTCAAGTGCAAGAGCATCTTAAAGAGGCCGGAACATGTCAGAAACAAGAGAGCGTTTGATTGGTCAGAAGATTTAATGAGAAACTGAATTATGAGGAAAAAAAAATATTAATCTGTACAAATTGCAAGCTTTATACCTTCCTAATAAAAACGTTGTCACTGCTCTGGAGAAAACAAGCTTATAGACTAACTTTAGAATGATACTAACATCTAAAAATATATATTTTGATTTCATCGGTACTTCATAGTGCACTACTAACAGAAGTAAAAATTAAGCAGATATTGCAACTTACACTATTTATACCACAAAATGGCATAGAATAGTGCCTATTTAGAACACACTCGCTGGTTTTCACGTAATGTGTGAGTGTGATTTTAAATGTACTACAGAACTACTGGTATTATAGATAAATGAAGGTTGCTTTGATAAACGGAGCAGGTGTAAAGAGGTTACTGTCCCTTTAAGAGACGCGGGCTGACTGAGCGCATATGCAGCGGCTCCCCGTCATCATCACTGCTGTACTGAGAGACACAGACACACAAGATAAACCGGGATTCCTCCTGTTATTCACCATCACTCCTGTCGGGTCGGAATGGAGATGTTGAATAATCGACTAAAATAAGGAAAAGTCCTGCTGAGCTC